CCCGCCCGACGGACCTGGGCGGGCGAATGTGCTCGCTCCGGAGGTCGGCCACCTGCCCCCGCCCGTCCTAGCGCACCTTTCCCTTCTCAGTCGCCCTCCGAGGGGACAAAGACGGTTTTGTAACATTTGCCCTCATCGTCAGCCCTGTAAGTGCACTGCTTCATTTCAGCCTAAAAGCGAGACGGCTGCATGTGCGTGACGGGACCCGCGCCCCCAGTGGTTAGAGCACCAGTCAGTGGCAGACGCAGAATCTGCAGCGAGGTCTGCGGTCAGTCCGATCACAGGGCAGACCGCTGCCGGCGACAGAAAAGTCTGCCATCCTTCAGGAAGAGCAGGACAGGCACGCTCCTCCGTGGCGGCTCTTAAAGATCAACTTTATATTGTTGAGGTAAAACAGACATATGAGGGAAAGTACCCACTTAAAAGTGCACACTCCGGTAAGGGTTTTTAGATTTTTCTTATTGTGGTAAAATATGCGAAACATAAAACTTACCATTTAAGCATTGTAAGTGCACAGTTCAGTGACATTGAGTGCATTCATAGCGTGCAACAGCCATCATCACCGCCCGTCTCCAGAGCTTTTTCACCATCCCAAGTGGAAACCCTGTCCCTATTAAACCGTAACTCCCCATTCCTCCTCCCACAGCCCCCGAATCTGTCTCCTCGAAGTACCTAAAATGTGGAGTTATACAAATTTGTCCTTTTGTGTCTGGCTCATTTCACTTAGTTTGATGAGTTTGGGCAAATGTGTTCATCTGTGTAACCACCAGTCCAATAAAAATAATAATAATAATAATAAAAAAAAACAAGCCCGGCCAGCATGGCTCAGTGGTTGAGCATCAACCTATGAACCAGGAGGTCATGGTTTGATTCCCGGTTGGGGTACATGCCCGGGTTGCAGGTTCAATCCCACGAGGCAGCTGATCAATGATTCTCTCTCATCATTGATGTTTCTATCTCTCTCCCCCTTCCTCTTTGATATCAATAAAAATATATATTTTTAAACCACACTCCCTTCCCCCAAAAAACTTCTTTCTGACCCTTTGCAGGTAACACTGCACCCCAACTCCATTCTCACCTCCCGAAACCAACACTATGAAATCTCTGATCTGCTTTTCATTACTGTGGATTTGTTTGTCCTAGAATTTACATAAATGGTTCATACAATATTTGCACATCTGTGCCTCGCTGGCTCCTTTCACTCACTGTACGGCTTTTCAGTAGTTTGTTGCTGCTATTGCTGAGTGACATTCCATTGTATGAATTTACCCCAATTTGTTGTATCTTTATACCAGTTGGTGGGCACTGTTGTGTTTTGTTTTTCTATTTGAAGATACTATGAATAAAGTTACCATGAACATTTGTGTAAAAGCTTGTGTGGACATACGTGTTTCTTTATCTTAGTAGCTACTTAGGAGTGGGATTGCTGGGTTATAATGGTTATAAATTCTTTATGTAGTCTGGTTTTAAGTCCTTTGTCAATAATATGTATCGAGAGAGAGATTAAAAATGGCGGCAGAGTAAGTGGAAGCTACAAGGACACTCTCCCAGGACCAAATTGTAAATACAACTCAAGGACAGAAAAACCACGCTGAAAAGTCCACTGAAGACTCGCTGGAGAGAACCCTGATAACCAAAGACGGAAAGTGGAGACCGCATAGAGGCTGGTGAGACGTGCGGAGGCGCGAAAGGGCTGGCCAGGCTCCCACAGACAGCAGCTGAAGGTCCGGAGGAAGAGCTCAGTAGTAGAGGGTTCCCACGGAGAACTCTGGGGTCTAAACCCCAAGCTGGGCTCCCCAGCCCTGAAAACCAGAACTGATCAAGGAGCCCACAGAACATCTGGCTGTGAAAAGCAGCAGGGTTGCTGTCTGACAGCGAGAGATGGCTGGAAATGCAGGCACCCTCTTCAAGGGTTCATGTACAAAATTTCATGTGCAGCCACTCATCCTGGGCTCCAGCAGAGGGAGGGCAGAGTGGACTGAAGCTGTGTGAGGAGAGTCCAGGTTTGGGGGCCCTGGGGTTGGAGCTCAGAGGGCAGGCATCCCAGTTTCCTGTGCTGAGCCGTTCTCTCATGCTGCGGAGAACATCTTTCTCCGAGGACCTTTGCTATCCAGGTGGCTTTTGCCCGGGAGAAGGCAGTTGCCCCACCCTGTGGTCTATAGCCTCAAGCAAGTTAAGACTGAGAATAACAATCAGACTGCAGGCAGAGGCGGATCTCTGGAGGCTTTGAGTCTTGGACTGGTCTTCTTCTGGGCCTGGGCTAGGAAAAGCAGATCCTGGTGTACGTCTTGATCCTTTCCAAAGGCACCCAGCCCAGCAGAGGGAGCCACAAGCTATGGGTCGCTGACAGCTCCAAACAGAGTACGCAGGGCCAGTCAGAAACAGCGTCTGATGCTGTCTGGCACCAGCGATTGGGAGGCATAGCAGATCTATCTAATACATAAACCCAAACCCAAACAGGCAGCCAAAATGGGAGACAAAAAACAATCCCCAAAAGAAAGAACAAGATGATTCTCCAGAAGAAGAGCTAAAT